GTATGCCAAGCGAGCCTTTGTGCACTGGTATGTGGGGGAGGGCATGGAGGAAGGGGAGTTTTCGGAGGCCCGGGAGGACCTGGCTGCCCTGGAGAAGGATTATGAGGAGGTTGGAAGGGAATTGGCAGATGTGGAGGAGTATGATGAGGAGTAATATTTTTTTTTACTTGTGAGAAGGCAGCTTAGATGAAGCTGTTTGCATGCTAGTCTTGCACTTTCTTCCAGAGAAGGGAGTTGGGGGCTGGCTCTGAGGAACATGACTTGGAAACTCTGCACCTTGGCCAAAAGCAACTCTTTGGTCAAGACTTGTGTATGTACAGTATTGCCTAATAAATGGTGACCAGGAAAAGATCTCCTGTCTTGATGTATCACCCAACTGGCTCGTGGTGGGGGTGGCTACAGGGTGGTTTCTCTGTTGCATTGGTCAATGCAGTTCTAACAATCTCTCTTTCCAGCTTGTAGATGCTGGGGTGAGCCCTGTGAACTGGGGTGGGTGACGGCATGATGTGAACCATCTGCCCTGGGGTTGATCTGCTTTGTTAAAATGAGCTATTGGGGTGATGAACCCACTTGGGCACTGCCTGCCCATGGCCTCTCTGTGTGCTCAAACTCAGCTGGCTCTGGGTTTTCCATGTTCCAAGGCATAGCAGGGTGTGGGATTGGGTTTTTCTGGTCCCCCACTGCCATGCAGAGCCCTGCTAAAGCAATCCGTGTCCAGCTGCCAGGGCTGTGCCTGCCTGGAAGCCTAACTGAAGTAGAGATGAGAATTCAAATACCTCTGTTGTCCATCAGACCCCTGCAAAAGCACCCAAACCATTGGCTCTAAGTTCTAAAGCAAGGAGCTGTCTCCCCACTCAAACTTCTCTCTTGTGCTGGGTGATGGATGTTCCCCGGGCATAGTGGGGAAAAAAAACAACCCTTGCAAACAGCTAATGAGCTGAAAAAAGGAGTTTTAACTTCACCTCTGCAGGTTCCCATGGACTGGAGCAGGTTATTTCTCCACTGGGGAGTCTCTTCCCAGTAAGTGATCCAAGAAAAGGGGCTGGCTGGGATAGGGTGGGGGAGCTGGATCTGCAGTCAGGCTGTAATTGAAAGGCTGACAGTGTTGGCTCTGGGTTGCACTGGAGGAAAGTTTAAAACAACCTGAGGCAAGGGTGGAGGGGGGTGGTTTATTATTAAATCCTGCCTCTGCTTGCCATTACTCAGCTGGGCTCCTGGGGGTGGCAATCTCCCAAGGTGGGAGCTCCTGGGGGCTGTCTCACCTCCAGCTTCCCTCTGGCTTAGGACCAGTGGGGCTGGCAATGCGATGGGTGCAGGATTGGGGATGAGCTCTCTTGTGCCTCCTTTGAGCCTCCCAGGACCTCCTGATGTGCTGGGTAATGCCTCTCTGCTGGTGCAGACCCTGAAGTGATGCCCAAACCTCCCTCCAGAGGAAAAAAAAAAAAGGAACAAAGCCGGAATAAAAAAGCTCAGGCAGGAGCAATGGCAGCTCTGCCTTCCCCTCCTGGGTACTTGGCCAGGAGCTGAGGGAAGGTTGCTTGATTTTATATATATATATATATTTTTGTTTGTTTTGGTGGCAGAGGGAGATGAGTTAGATGGAGATGTCCTGGGATAGAGGCTCTGTTTTGGGGTTCATGCTCTGCCTTCCTTGTGGACCACTGCCAAGGCAGGGCTGCAGGAGGGAGGCACAGCAGCCAGAGTGGCTGCACGAGATCTGGTGGCCTGAGGGTCACATCTTGTGACTTTTATGACACTGAAAGGGCTTAATCTCCATGGATCCGTGGATCACTCTGTTCTTGGAGGGTCAACCTCCAAGGTCTTCCTCTTGGAAGAAGTACCTTTTTTTTTCTAATTTTTAATCCTCTGGTGTGCCCAATACCATTTAGCTCTGCCTTCAAGAGTTGGGAGCTGGTGCACAGCTCCTACCCATGGTGGAAGTGGAGGAAAGGCCCAGCTGTTGGTTGGGTTGGGGACAAGGGTGTCTTCTGCAGCTATGGCATAGTCCTGCCTGCTGCCCTGACAGCTTGCAGCTCCATCAGGACTTTTTTGTGAATGCTTGTGAATCATAGAATCATTTAGGTTGGAAAAGACCTTTAAGACCATCAAGTCCAACTGTTAAATTGCTGCAATGGCAGCAGGATCCTTTCTGTCATATCTGTGTATGATGGCCTGAAGCTGAGCCCAGAAGTGGTGGAGTGTAACAGTTTGTCCACCCAGGCAGATGAAGACCATGTCCCCCTGTGCTGAAGACCAACCCACCCTAAGCAGCCTCATTACCATTGGCCCCAGGAGGACCATGCACAGCTCCCCAGCTGCTTCAGATGCACCTCTTGGCTTGCATTGGGCTGTGGGGTGGAAGCAAGAGGCAGTAGGTGCTGCTGGATTGTATCAAGGAAGAGGGAACTTGCCCAAGACCTTGTAAGAAGCCAGTGGCAAAGGTCTACAGGTGCCCTGAGCCTCCTTCCCGCAGGATGATTATGAACAAATCCTCCCTGACCACTGTGATCTACCCTTAATGCAGTAATGAATGAATGGTGGTGAATGGGCTGGAGCAACACGGTGGAAACACAGATCCTGGTGGCTGCTCTGTGTGTTGCTGTTTAGTGGACTTCTTTCTGTGCCCAGCTTTGCTATTCCAGCACACAGGTAGGGAAAATAAAGCTGGAGCCGTGCAATGAAGTGTGTGCTGCTCTTGGGTGATGGCCATCGGGCTGGAGGTGCCAGCTTCCCCAAAAGCCACGGGATTGCTCTCCCTGCCAAGGAAAATCCTTTCCTTCCTTCCCTCATTGTGTTTGTGGGAGGGCAGGAGTGGGTCCGTGCTGATGGCTGTACCAGAGTAATTGAATTCAGTAATAAAAAAACGCTCCAATTACATCAACCCTGGTGCTGTGCTGATGGCTTTCCAAGCTGCAGGAGCACGTGGCTGCACTCTTGCCCTTGCTCAGACATGCTGGGTTGGCTCCTGAGCCAAGTGGGAGTGATGCGCACCTCATGTCTAGCCCAGGCTGCTGTCACCTACATTTTGGGGGGATTGAACCAGTGGCTTCCAGCCTCAGCTGTCTGTGGGGAATGGAGCCACCAGGGAAAGGTGGCAGCCCTCAAGACCAAGCCTGGGAACTCCCCAGCACATTTACCTGTGGGCACAGAGACAGAAGTCATCTTTGCGCTTTTAAAAAGCATCTTTGAGCCCTGAGCAGTCTCATTTCTGGGAAATGGAGCAGTTACCTTTCCCCTGTGTGGGTTATTGTCAGCACTAGGGACGTAGTCTGGAGACAACCAACTGGAAACCCAGGAGGTGCGCTGGCCCTGTCCCCAGGAATCAAAAGGTGGAAAGTGACCACCTAGGGTGGATGAGAGGAGACCCACCCAGCCCCAAGGTCTTTGAGCTGACCAGCTTTGGGGTGTCACGATGGGGTCCATCACCCCAGCAGAGCTGGAGATGAAGGAGAGGACCCATCAGATGAGGTAGGAGCTGGTTACGATCCCCAGAAGGACCAGCCTCCCCAAGAGCAATGGGACATGCCTAATGTTTTAGCCCAGGTAATCTCACAGCAGTGAGTTGAGCACAGAGGATGCTTCAGCCCAACTGGGATCTTCCCAGGAGTCCATCTGCTGCCCATTCATGCCATCAGCACCCTGGCTTTTTAGGCTCACTGCAGCCAACTGTGAGCTCTGGGCTCCTTCCACCTCCATCTCCCAAGTATAGGAATAGCAACACCTCCCCATCCCCCTACCATCCCTGACTGTACCTCCCAGCACATTGCTTTGGGAACAATTCCTGAACCCTACCCCCATCAGGGGAGAGGGCAGCTGGAGCTACAGGGCATCAGGAGGTCTTGGGGTGGAAAAGACTGACTCTACTTTGAGACACAGCCCAGTACTGAAATGAAGGGTGGATGTGGAGCTGTGGTATACAACAAACACAAAGTGTAACGCAACAGCCATGAGCACGGCACCTAGAGACTCAGTGAAGCATGGAGCCAGCCATTCTCCTGTCCTGCAGGCTTATGAATGCTTCCTCTCCATGTTATCAGGCCATTTCATTGCTTTTCCTCCCAAGTCACTCCATTACATGGGCCTGGCTCACCTTCTCAGGGCAAACTCCTACCCCAAGCACGTGGGGGTTGTTTCATAAGCCAAAGACCTCAGCTCAAAGCTACAGCACTGCCCCAACAACCAGGCCTTGCTCAGGCAATGACCAAGCTTCACCAGAGACAGTGAGGAAGCAAACTCCCCCCCAGAAAGGTGCTCTTTACTCTAGGCATCCCCCCCACCACCACTTAACGGCACTGGTCAAACTGGGGATTGCCTGCCTGCTCCCAGCTTGACTTCCTCTGGGCTCCTCTTGGAGGTGCATCCAGCTCCAGACAGACAAGTCCCTGCAGGATACAGGTCATTACCCTCACAGCGATAATTATGGTTGCTGATCCTCCCCGATAGCCTCCCCAGAACGCACCCTTATCTGCATTTGCTATTCTGCCTAAGACAACATCCTTGCAGTTGGGACCTCCCCACACAAACACCCTGATTAAATCTAAAGAACTCAGAGCAAAAAAAAAAGTCTTTATTCAAATACAAAAACAGACAGTTGCATAGAAGTGTACAGGTACATTCCTAATTAAAAGGTGCTTTTACAGTAAAAGCCAGAGCAAGGATTTGCCATTTCAGCCAAAGCAGGCAGCTTGCAACATTCCCCTGGACTAGGAACCAGGATCCTCTGCCCAGGCAGGATGTAGCCCCGATGCTAAGCCAGGCACCTATTCAGCTTCACTCATTGACAAAAAGCGGTGTGATAAAGCTCGAGACACCCATGCTACAAAAGTGCACTATGAGCACGTAGACTACGCAAGCAGGAAAGTTATAATATGTCAAACAGTAGCATCGAGGTTCAGGATGATCCTTTGGCACCTCCAGGCACTCAGGACCAGTTTAGCCTGATGGCAGAGGGTTTGTATTTCATCTGAAGTTTGACTTCATTAAGAACAGACTGCAGTTTGTTAATACTCATCCTCATCAGCCTCATCTTCTTCTCCATCTGCCGAGTCCCTTCCAACCTCCTCATAATCCTTCTCCAGGGCAGCCAGGTCCTCCCGGGCCTCCGAAAACTCCCCCTCCTCCATGCCCTCCCCCACATACCAGTGCACAAAGGCTCGCTTGGCGTACATCAGGTCAAACTTGTGGTCCAGGCGGGCCCACGCCTCCGCGATTGGGTACCACATCACCCCGGTACAGCAGGCAGCATGCCATGTACTTGCCACGGCGTGGGTCACATTTCACCATCTGGTTGGAGAACTCAAAGCAAGCGTTGGTGATCTCTGGCACCGACAGCTGCTCGTGGTAGGCTTTCTCTGCTGAGATGATGGGTGCATAGGTAGTGAGCGGGAAGTGTATCCGTGGGTAGGGCACCAGGTTGGTCTGGAATTCAATCAGGTCAACATTCAAAGCACCATTAAATCTCAAGGATGCAGTGACGGAGGAGACAATCTGCCCAATCAGCCTGTTGAGGTTGGTGTAGGTGGGACGCTCGATGTCCAGGTTGCGGTTGCAGATGTCATAGATGGCCTCATTGTCCACCATGAAGGAGCAGTCCGAGTGCTCCAGGGTGGTGTGGGTGGTGAGGATGGAGTTGTAGGGCTCCACCACTGCTGTGGAGACCTGTGGGGCTGGGTACACAGAGAACTCCAGCTTGGACTTCTTGCTGTACTCCACGGAGAGCCGCTCCATGAGGAGTGAGGTGAACCCAGAGCCTGTGCCTCCCCCAAAGCTGTGGAAGACCAGGAACCCTTGGAGTCCACTGCACTGGTCAGCCTGCAGCAGAATAATGTATATTTACCTCTCTCTGTTAAGGGCTGGAAGAACTATCCCAAATAACACAGCAATAAATTCTGCTGCAAGCACTTGCTGGCCAGAGTGCACCCAATCCCTAGAGTGGATTCACTCTGTATATCACCCTACTGAGCATCTTAAGTATACATGTCTTAATTGATTGCAGCATTTCCATGGAGATACCACAGGTAGCTCTGCATGGTCAGATGGAAACTCCAAAAATTGAAAATTGCTCCATTATCAGCTCAATGCATACCTCAGCACCTGAGAGGGGACAGAGGTACCACATGGATCCTAGACCCTTAGGAGACATCTCAAAAAACATTTCACTGACAGGCATCCAAATGTATTATTACAATCCTGCTTCGCTCCTATCAAGATCTGGAGTTTGGTCTTCCTAGCCTGGCCACCAGTTGTCCCTTTAGAATTTATATCCACAATTGCACAACCAGGGTGTGGCTTCCCTGTGGTCAAAAGTCCTTCTCTTCTGTCTCCTAGGTCTAGTGTTGTGTCACTTCATACATGTACAACAGGCAATGACAGTTGCTGTTAGGGCAGCTATACAGGTTCAGATGGCCCCTTGCTTTACTGAGCCCCAAACCTAATCACAGCCACCCTTGAGCTTGCATAACGGGGTTTTTCTTCCAAGACTTTTACCCCAAACCCAAACTTTTATTGTATTGGCCATGGTGCGTAAGAGAGTCTTTTCTCTTACCATTTTACGAATTCTGCTGAGGACAGTGTCTATAATCTCCTTGCCAATCGTATAGTGGCCGCGAGCATAGTTGTTGGCAGCATCTTCCTTGCCACTGATGAGCTGCTCTGGGTGGAAGAGCGCATGGTAGGTCCCGGTCCTGATCTCATCTACACAAGGAGGAGCAGTCATGGAGAGCAAGACACAGTTACAGGTTCTGGACATTAGTGTGACAGAGTGAAACACATAGCAAATCTCCCAGGAGCCCAATCATGGACATGGACAATCATGGCATGGTTAGGTCAAACTGGGAATAATGGAAGGAGAAAGAATCACAGAATCACAAGGGTTGGAAGGGACCTAGTCCAACCCCCCTGCTAAAGCAGGTTCTCCTAGAGCATGTTACACAGGACTTCATCCAGGTGGGCTTTGAGTATCTCCAGAGAAGGAGACTCCACCACCCCCCTGGGCAGCCTTGGGCCCGTGCTCTGTCCCTGTCCAGGGACAGGATAACCCTGTCCAGGTTAGTTTGTCAAGGTCCTACTATATCTCCTCCGTCCTCACCCAGCAGCCACTTTGAGACCATAATGTAATTTGGCTTAAAGAGTTAGGACACTGCCTATGTTTCCAATATAACCGTAGGGTTATAGTTACCATATGCAGCTTGTGTTTCTGCTTGTTGCAAAGCATCTTGAGGTGGCCTGGAAGCACTACCTCCATCCTCTGCTCTATGGCACACTGAAGAGGAGACAGAGTGCCTCCAGTGTTGACATTTCTGCTAGATGTATCCGACCCAGCTTCAGGCACCTTATGAAGGCAGGCATTAGGAGCAGTTTCTCCCGGTTCCATGCAGTCAATGAAGCTGGAGACACCTCAGAGGGTATTTAAACCCACTCAGTCTCAATATTGGATACACTTCATATTCTACTGGCTCACTCACTAGGTTCCCAGTTTAGTGCCTTGATAAGGTGCCTAAAAATTAAGCGGAACCAAAACAAAAGTCTACGTTCCTTCCATTAGACAAAATAATGAGTCACACATCCTAGATGGTAAGATAGGAGCAAACGCCCAGGAGAAGCCTGGAAGGCAGAAGTAGGTAGATGGATGCAGGCAGTTGGGAGTCATTTCCACCAGTTCCTTGAGCAAAAAAATAATTTTTTTTCTAGGAAGGTACTCTAACTCAAAGTGCCATGATTGAGTCAAACACCCAGAGATCACTAAAGGAGCTGGGTCTGGAAGGGGAATTAGAAAGCTTGCAGTAGCAAGACACCCAGTTTCCACAGAACCATGATGTGTGTAGCACCCATCTGCCCAAAGATGCTTCACAGGTAGCATTAAACCCACATCAGGTCATAGGATGGTGTAATTCAGTTCAGAGCCACTGAGGTTAATAAACCCAAGCCACTTTACACCTGCTGAGGATCCTGCTCAAGACAGCAGGTCCCTTAAAAGGAGGGATCAACTAAAGACAAGTCAGTGGAGCAGGAGTAATGGGTTTGTCACTCCAGGTCCATTTGGAAATGTGAGCTTTGTCTCTTTCTGATGGCTGGAGAAATTTTAGTAGAGCAGAGGAGTGAGACCTGCTGGGCAACATGGGCAAAAACACAAGCCTCAAGTAAGAAGGGTCAGGAATCACAGTTAAAGATGCCACAACACCCAACTGCCCCACTATTACCGATGACAGTGGGCTCCAAGTCTATGAACACTGCCCGGGGCACGTGCTTCCCAGATGCTGTCTCACAAAAGAAGGTCTCGAAAGAAGAATCCACTTGTTCAGACTTCGGCTCCATAGGTTTCACCTGCTTGGGGCCAGGAATGGTCCCATCCGCCTGGATCCCGTGCTCAAGGCAGTAGAGCTCCCAGCAGGCATTGCCCATCTGCACGCCAGCCTGCCCAATGTGGATGGAAATGCATTCCCTCTGGAAAGGGAAATGGCTTGTTAAGGAGATTTTTAGATATCCTGTGACTTAGCACTAGCCCCCGCGGTTTTTGTTTGAGCCATTCGCTACGGCAGATGATGAGGGAAACAGGCGACTTCCGCCCACCACCAGGAGTTGGAGCAAGGATCAAACTTATCTGTAGGGCAGCTGGACACAGCCGAGCTGCACACGTAGCATCCCTAGGAAGGGCTCTCCCAGCCCAGGGGAGGAGGAAGGAAGGAGATGATGGGCTCCATGCCGAGGCAGGAAGCAGCTGAGCAGCGCTGGCTCCTCGATCGGTGCTCAACTGGCCTTGCCATGGAGTGGAGCAGCTCACAATCCCCCAGGTCCCAGAGCAACAGAGCATCAGGGACAACAGCTCCAGGCTCCCCAAGCTAAAAAAGCTCTGCACCAAGCAGGGAGAGCCCAAGCTTGGGAAACCCATGGCCAAGCTGGGAGTCACAGCAAGAAACAAGGCTGGAGAAAACCTGCAGTCACCCCAGGACCAGAACAAGGGCAGGCTGATACCTAGGGAGAGGCTCGAAGTCCTGATTTATCCAGGTCACCCTCCAGGAGCCTCTGACTACCTCCAGGGCAGTACTGGATATACTGGTGTCTTCTGGAGACTTTTGATGTTTGCACGCTTCCCTGGGTAATAGGCATCTCTGTTTCCACCACCCCAAGATCAAAGCACTGCCACAGCAATGCCAGAAGCTCACGTCCCAGCTCCCAAGCAGAGACTCCCAATTACTGCCATGCATGGCATGGGGCAGTGCTGCTTCCCAAGGGATCACCATGAAAGGGAGCTAGTGATCCCACCTTGGGATGGCAAGCAGTGCAGGGGATCCCATTATCTGTAGCATCAATGGACAGCTTGGTTCAGGTCTCACCTCATTTCACACCACCACCCAGTCCTACCCAGAGCTGGCTCAGTTCCGCTACTCCAAGTAGCCCACCTTATAGAATCATAGAATCATTTAGGTTGGAAAAGCCCTTTAAGATCATCAAGTCCACCCGTTAACCTAACACTGCCATCCCACCACTAAACCATGTCCCTCAGCACCTCATCTACCCTTCTTTTAAACACCTCCAGCGATGGGGACTCGACCACCTCCCTGGGCAGCCCATTCCAGTGCTTGAATTCCCTTTCTGTGAAGAAGGTTTTCCTTGAGCAGAGCATGGCAAATGCCACTGGAAGCCCAGTTGTCTCAGGGCTGGGAGGACGTTCTGTATGTGCACACCCCTAGGCAAGACTATCCTGCCAGAAGGACTCTGTCCACGGAAAGTCGCTACCCAGTAAGTAACGCTAGACAGCCCCGGGCACCAACCACTTGTGGCAGTAGCCATCAGGAGAGGATGCGAGATAACTTCTCCTCTCTTAGTCTCCAAGCATAGATGTGCTAAGACATTTCTCAGTCCTCAAGCAACTCCAGTGGCCACCACATATCCAGGTCATCCACCGTAAAGCTAGAAACCAACTGGATGAATGGTCCTGGTAGCGCAGAGAGACTCCAACCCCTTTACCCACAGCTGGCTAAACACCGCTTAATCCCAGTCTGGGCCAAGACCACCAGTTCTGCTGGGTGCGGAGGCTGTGTTTAAGTCCTCCCTCTCCCAGTTGATATTTGCACTATGTGGGAAATGCTGCCTGCCATTTGCCCATCCCTCTCAGCAAGATGGTTGCAATAGCTCCTCGCCGCAGTTTGCAAGGGTCAGCGCCCGCAGCCGCTTCCCCGGCGCTAGCTGGGACAGCTGCTCTGCTCACGGTCCTCTCCCAGTTCCTTAGTCCCAGCACCTGCTTCAAGGGAACACTGGTATTTTCAGCCCAGAGCACAGGGAATGGGAACAAAACAAAAAAAAAAAACAAAAAAAAAAAGGAAAAGAAAAAAAAAGGGGGGGACCTGGTGGAAGGAAGAAAGCACAGCTTCCCCCCCCCCCCCCCCCCCGCCAAATATGCCAGAAAGTTTTTTGAGATCCCAGATCTCCAACATTTGCATCAAGACAAACCGCATTTTACAGACTCCAGCTATAGGCAGCCCTATTGTTGGCCAGCTGATTTTCCCATTGGAAATACCATGGAAATGTTTAACTGTTTTATAGCCAAGACAGGCTCTAGAAGTCAGCAGATAAAAGGAAAAGTTCAAAAGCTGGCTCGCTAGAAGTCACTTTGAAGTTTTTCTTCCATTTGCAACATGCAAAGGGACACCATCAGCTTTTCCAACAAGTTCCTCTCCTGCGTTCGCAATAAGGTGACAGTTGTGTTATTCCTTACCAAAAAAGTTTCAGCCAGATCAGCCAGCGCTGTTCAGGGCTGCAGTTTTTTTAGTAACCAGATCAATCCACTTCAGTTTCACAGCTGCAAACTCTTTAGCTTACAGATTCAATTAAAAAGCTGGAAGAAAGGGGGGACTTTATTCACTTAATATCTAATCCCAAGGGTTTGTAGCATGACTGCACCTGTTTGTCTCTCCTAAAGAAAAAAAAAAAAAAAAAACCCTAAAGGTCTCTGCAAGTTGCAGTAGTTCCCTGTGGCAGTGCAAGAGTTGAAGTGTTAAACTTTGGGAAAAGGGCCAGCAGTGCCAAAATTTAAACTTTAGTCTATCACATAGTTGTGTATCAAGATATGCTGGTTCCCCCCCACCAAAAAAAAAAAAAAAAAAAAAAAAAAAAAGTAAAAACCAACTTGCATTAAAGAGAGAGAAACTTTGCAACTCTACAGAGCCCACCTCAGGAGCTGCAAACTCAGAGGGAAAAGCAGCAAGAGGCCACCTAAACAGCTCTTCTCCACCCAAGTCCCTCACTTTTCCCTTATAAGGAGCAAACATGGAATCAATAAACCATAAGGTAATCAGCAATTCAACAACGCTGTTTGGAATGAACATCCCCAGGAGAAAGGACAGAAAAAGAGCAAGTAGGCTGGTTAGCTCAGCACGCTTGGAAAATGCACTATTATATTTTAAGCTTAGACTAATGCAAATACAAGGCATGCTCTTACCATGATGAGACTGGAAGCTTGCTAAGATCTAAGCAAAACAGCTGCTGCCCCTGCCTCTCCCTGCAACTTTATAGCCCAGGAAGGCTTGACTCCACCTGAATATAAAGAAGCTTTCTGCTAGCTTAAAGGAACAGGGCTCCTTTTCCTTTCCATCCCTAGAAATAGGGAGGATTGATCTATTAGTGTCTAGATGGTGCGATCTCAGTGATTAAACAGCCTTGGGTACAGTGCAATGTGAGCTTTTTTCATTTTTTTTTTTTTTTCAAAGACCCTCAACTGGGGGGGGAAAAAAAAAGTAGATGCCAAAGTTTGGGTTTGGCTAAAAAGAAGGAAACTGGAGAAGTTTGAGTGTCCCCATATGATTCACTTTACCCAGCAGAAACAATCTGCCCCTCATCATTACTCAGAGCACTGTCACTGACGTGCTGTAGCTTGTCTATTTTTAGATGCAATCTCACCATTTTTTGATCTTTGTTCCGTACGATCGATGACCTCCATGGGAATCTGCTGACTTTTTGCACCTCTGGGACATCCAGGTGTAGGCTCAGCCCCTCTGTGTGCCTTACCTGCTGATCATTATGGGTTCATTTTGCCCTCCTGCCAAGAGCTGATGTAAGGACTCTGAGTCAGTTTTGGCCCCATCCTGCAAATGGGTAGGTTCATCTTTAAGACTGCTCCAGATCTGCCCTCAAGTCTCAGTAGTGCCTGTGTGGTTACTAGCAGCAGGTAGCCAAGAGTGGTTAGTGGTAACTTGTTTACTAATTCCCTTATTTACCTCTTCATCCTCCCTTTAAAAGGTGTCAAAACCTTCTTCGGTTCAGCCATAGCTGCAACAGGTTGACAGCTCTGGGGTCGGGGGGGACAACCACGTCATCAACACAAACGCAGCCAGGCAGTCAAGGACAAGGAGTTTTTCCTCTGTTCGGCATTTCTGGGATCCTCTCTGCTTACTGGGTCCAGTCTGAGCTGACCAGTACAAGATAGACATCAGTATACTGGAGCAACTCCAGCATAGACCACTGAGCTGGTCAGATGTGGAGTACAGGACAGGGGCAGACAGGGTAAGTGGGCTTGTTCATCCTCGAGAAGGGGACACCTTTCAATTCACCATGAAGATGGTCAGACATTGGAGCGGGAACCTAAAGATGGGGGAATTTTCATCCCTTAATGTATTCAAAACTCACCTGCGCAAGTCCTCAAGCAACCTGTTCTAAATTGACCCCGAGGTATTTTTAGGAGGCAAAGTTAACCCTCTCGCCAAGGACCTGGATGCACCAACCTGATTGTAAGAACATCCCCAGTCATAGAGTGAATTTCTTTAGAGAAGCTTTATTTCCCTTTGAACTGTCAGTACCACGTGTGGGCTCAGCTGAGCCTGGAGGAGCGGGGTGTATTCACCCCCCAGCTCTGCCGAGGCATGGGGACAAGACTGCAGCCTTGATGGACAAAGAGATGAGATGACCTCCAAAAGGAAGACATCTATGGAAGGGCTCTCCTCCACAAGGCACGTTCAGCCCAGCCTCTGCCTCTGAGGGCAGATGGGAGCATTACCCCATTGCTGCCTGGAGCTATGCCATGGATTTAGGGAGTTCAAGCCAAGCAGGTTGAGCACTTGGCTATGCCTGTTTTGGAAGTGGGGGAATTCAGCCGTAATTGGGTCAGGCAGGGTTTTTTTGTTAGACGGAGCATCATGCAAATGCTGCTGTCAGCGGCAGGGCCTCCAAACCTCTGCTGGGAATAAAGGTGTCTTCTGAGTGTAGAGGAGCTATTCATTTCTGGCCTAAACCAAGAGCCTCCCAAATGTGTGCACCAAGCCTGCTGGTCAGACAAGATCTTCTCTTTCCAAAAGGCATCTGTTCCTTGGTGAGAAAAAAGAAAGTGAGGAACTCAGGCAGTTTAGAGCATGGAGCATTTATTCACTAAATGATGCGATTTAGGCTAACCCCAAGTCAAAAAATTTTGGGACTGATTTCTGTCTTTCTTGGGAAATGGAAAGCAAAAG